AAAAACACAGCGAGAGAGGGAACACAAGCAGGGGGAGTGTGAGAGGGAGAAGCAGGCTTCCGCTGAGCAAGGAGCCCGATATGGGACTCGATCCCAGGACCCTGGGATCATGACCTGAGCCGAAGGCAGACACTTAACAACTGAGCCACCCAGGTGCCCCTGAATAAGTAAAATCTTAAAAAATAATAATAAAAAATAGATTAAAAAGTTTTTAAAAACATACGTATACATGTATGTAAGGTTTTTTGTGTTGTTGCTATGTGGATTGCCTAGAATTTTGCCCTAGAGGATACAATTCATATAGAATATATGAATGATTTCCCCTGAAGTTGTGTGATGTGAGAATTATGCAATATGGTGGTACTGTTGCTGAAGTATAAAAAAATGTAATTTTTATATCCAACAATCAAGATAAATGCTCTTATTCTGATATTTATCTATAGATTCTTTTGAGTTTTCCATGTAAATAATCATTATTCATGAAGGAAAGTATTATTCTTTCTAATCTTTATACTTCTTATATCTTTTTCTTATTTTCCTGCATTGTATGTACAACGTTGGTACAGTGTTGAATGGAATTAGTGACAGTAGGCACCTCTGTTGTGCTCCTGATTTTAAAGAGAATGTTTTCAATGTTTCAGTATAATGTTTACTGTATGCGATTTTTAAATAGCTTTTAATAGTTAAGGATGTTTTCTTCTATTTCTATTTTGAGAATTTTTTTTTAGAGAGGGAGGGAGGAGAGGGAGAGGGAGAGAGAGAATCTTAAGCAGGCTCCACGCCCACTGCAGAGTCCAATGGGGAGCTCTTTCTCAGGACCGAGATCATAACCTGAGCCAAAATCAAGAGTTGGATACTTAACCCACTAAGCCACCCAGGCACCCCAAGAATTTATTTTTTCTTTTTAAGGCTGGATGTTGAATTTGTTATCAAATGCTTTTTGGCCTCTTCACATGATCATATGATTTTCTCCTTTATGTGGCAAGTTATATTAATTTTTTTTAATGCTAAACTAGGTGTGGTTCCTAGGTAGACTCACCTTGGTTGTGCTGGACTTAGTTTATAGTGTTTTGTTTAAGACTTTTATGTCTGTGTACAGAAGTGATATTGACATAATATTTCCTTCTTGTACTTTCAGATTTTGGATCAAGTTTATGCTAAGTCATAATATGAGTTGGAGGTATCCCTTCATTTTTTAATTCTTTTAAATAGCTTATATAAAGTAGAATCATTTTTTTCTTTGAATTTTTAGCAGAACTCTCCTTTTAAAATCACCTTGGTCTGGAATTTTTTGAAGGAAAAAATTTCAACTACTGATTTCATTTCTTTATTGGTTAAAGGACTATTTTGATTTTTTCTTTCTTCTTAAGTCAACTTAAAAAATATCTTTTCATTATGGAAAATTTCAAACATGAAAAATAGAGCAAACTGTATAATGATCCCCCACATACCCATCACCCAGTTTCTTGAGTCAGTTTGGCTAAGCTTTATTTTTCCAGGGATTTATCTATTTCATCCAAGACCCCAAGTTTTTTTTGACATAGAATTGTTCATAACATCTTCTTATCTTTTTTATCTTAAAAACATCTGTAATTTTGTCCCTTTTTCATTCTTAATATTGGTTATTTGTGCCTTTGTTGTCTTAATTTTCTTATCATGTTTGCTAGTTTTAATAATCTTTTATTTTTTTAATTTTTTTAGATTTTATTTATTTTTTGACAGAAAGAGACACAGCGAGAGAAGGAACACAAGCAGGGGGAGTGGGAGGGGGAGAAGCAGGCTTCCCGCTGAGCAGGGAGCTCTATTCTAGGACCCTGGGATCATGCCCTGAGCCAAAAGCAGACGACTGAGCCATCCAGGCACTCCTAATTTTAATAATCTTTTAAAAGAACAAACCTGAGGGCGCCTGGGTGGTTCAGTCGTTAAGCATCTGCCTTCGGCTCAGGTCATGATCCCGGGGTCCTGGGATTGAGCCCTGCATTGGGCTCCCTGCTCAGCGGGAAGCCTGCTTCTCCCTCTCCCACTCCCCTGCTTGTTTTCCCTCTCTCACTGTGTCTCTCTCTGTCAAATAAATAAATAAAATCTTTAAAATAAATAAATAAAAATAAAAGAACAAACCTGTGACATTGTTGCACTTCTGTGTTCTGTTTCATTCATTTCTGCTCTTGTTATTATTTCCTCTGTTCTGCTTTGTTTGGGCATATTCTGTCCTTTTTCTACTATCTAAAGGTGTGTGCTTAGCACATTAATTTTCTTCCATTTTCCTTTTCTAATTAAATGTCTAAGTGTAATTTTTTTCTACACAGTTATTTTGCTGCATGTCACATTTTAATACCTAGTATTTTTGTTATTGTTCAGTTCTAAAATTTTTCTAATTTCTATGATTTCTTCTTTGACCTATGTCTTATTTGGTCATACTTCTTAATTTGCAATATGGAGTTTGTCCTAGTTACTTTTTTGTATTGCTTCCTAACTTATAGTATTTTGGTCTGAGTGATAATCTTTTGACATTGACTAAGATGTACTTTGACTCCTGGTCTGTGGTAAATTTTGTGAATATTTCATGTAATTGTGAATAGCTATTCTATCTAAGTCCTTTAGATGAAGCTTGTTAAATGTGTTCAAATCTTCTGTATCCATAATAATTTTTTTGTTTGCATGATCTATCAGTCAAGAAAGACATATAAAAATCTCTCATAATGACTGTGAATATTCCTTTTTCTCCTTGTACCTGTATCTATTTTTGCTTTATGAAGATTATGTTATTAGTCATTCAGTTTTAAAGATTTTTTATTTATTTATTTGACAGAGAGAGCAAGCACGAGCAGGGGGAGTGACAGGCAGAGGGAGAGGGAGAAGCAGGTTTCCTGCTGAACAGAGAGCCCTACACAATGCTCGTTCCCAGGACCCTGGGATCATGACCTGAGCCAAAGGCAGATGCTTAACTGACTGGGCCACTCAGGTGCCCCTAGGCATACAGTTTTGAAATTATTAAATCTCGATGAAATAAGTCTTATTGTACAGTGGCCTCTTTATCTCTAGTAATGCTGTTTTCATTGAAATCTATTTTGTCTGATATTAATATAGCTATACTGGCTTTCTTTTGGTTGTTTTTTCTTGTTACATCTCCTCCCATGTTTTTACATTTATATATCAATTCTAGTTTTTATTAGGTTGGTTAATCAGAGTATCTAGCTAGCCCTTCTGATCAGAAATGGAACTTTTTTTTTTTCTTGAATACTGGAATCAATTTGCTAATACTTTATAGAGGATATTTACATTCATGTTCATCAGTGAGACTGATCAGTAATTAGGATGATATTATTTGTCATCCACACTGAGGAAGTTTTGAGAGTGAAAGGGAGTACCATATTTTTCCAGGCTTATGGCATAGAGATTGATTATAGTACCATTGGCTGGCATCATCAGGATTTATGAACTGCCTAATCATTTTGGCAAGGAATGGAGGTAAAGATAGGTTTTCCAGTAATCAATCTAGTTAGGGCTCAGATGTACCCTGTTGGTTTTATAACTGTTATTGTATTACTCTATATATCTGACTATAAGCTGATTATATATTGAATGAAGTTGTACAGAGAAAGAAGCAAACAGACCTGGATTTGAATGTCTGTCTCTGTGACTTAATTGTATAATCCTTAGGTAATGACCTAATTCCTCTGAACTCCATTTTCCCCATCTGTATAATAGAGATTATAATGCCTACCTGGTAGGGATATTGTGAAAATTAAGGATAAGTGAAAGCACTCAATATGTTCTTAGTACATAGTAGATTCTCTTATGTTACCTTATCCCCTTCTTAAGTTTCTGTTGTAAATTATCCTGTGTATTTGCTTTTCGAAACAAAGGTTGCTTTTTCCCTTGTGACTTAAAGTTGAAATCTTCCCTACTACTCCCCTGTTTACTTTGGATCAGAAAAAATTTCCCACTATGCCCTCAGTTATATGCATGTGGCATTTGGATAATTTAAGAAGGTATAGAAATTGACAGTATTGACAGTAGCAAAATTTTGACCAAAGGAAATCAATTAATGCTTATGTTATATAAAATGTATGAATTATCAGTGAAGCGAAAAGGTAAAATATGATTATCCTTAAAACTTCTTAGATATCTTCTATCTTCTTAGGTAAAGCAGACTCCCTACTTGACCTCTTATATTCTCACAATCCTTTAACAGGACTTCATTGACTTAACTAGAGAAACCAGACCAAGGGCAAAGGACCGCAGTGGACTCTGTGTGATTGACCTGACAAGAACTGAGGAAGAAAATAGACCTATTGCCACTCTGGACTTGACTCTAGAACCTGTCGCTCCTTCCCAGAAAGAGCCAACCAGTCTTCAGACTTGTGCCAGCCTCTGCAGCAAAGAGGTGACAGAAGGGCGGGGAAGCTCTTGGCCTGCAGCACGGAGAATCATTAACAGCGATCCTGTGGATTTGGACCTTTTGGAAGAAACCACATTTGAAGGTCCGCAACCCCCTACATCCATCAGCGGGGACTCTGTTTATCCAGCAGAGCCAAATTGTAGCTCAACTGCATTCAAAGGTGACCTTGGCTTCTTGGCAAGCCTACAGCTATCTTCAGATATTCGCTCCCTCTCCCCAACAAGCAATAATGGTAGCAGCAGCAATCAGAGGGCACCCTTACCATGCCCACAGCAAGATGTGCCTTGCCCATCACAAGCTTTGCCATGCCCACTGCGAACCATGCCGTGTCCACTGCGAGCCTCACCATGTCCACCACGAGCCTCCTCGTGCCCACCACGAGCCTTGTCATGCCCATCACAAACCGTGCAGTGCCAAGTACAAGCTTTGCCTCCCCTGCCTCAAGAAGTTCCATGCCCTCCTCGAGAAATGCCATGCCCTCAGCGGAATGTGCCAAGCCCACCTCCAGACTCATCGTGGCAACCTCAGCACTCACCCAACCCACCTCAAGACTCACTGTGCCCACCTCAAGACTCTCTGGGCCTACCTCAAGATGTACCAGGCCCACCTCAAAACATATCATATCCACAAGATGTGACACACTTACAAGATATGCCTCAATCATCAGGAGATGTGCCACAGTCACCACGACACGTGCCACAGTCACCAGCAGACATGCCACAGTCACCACGACACGTGCCACAGTCACCAGCAGACGTGCCACAGTCACCAGCAGACATGCCACAGTCACCAAGAGATGCACCACAGTCACCAGAAAGTGTGCCACATTCCCCTGGAGAAGTCCCAGACTTCCCAGGAGATATGTTCCGTTCACCTGGAAACAGGCCATGCTTGCCAGGAGACATGCCACACTCACTTGGAGACTTGCCTCACTTACCACGAGACAGGCCTTACTCTCTCCAAAATGATGTACATAACCGTGACACACCTATGGAAGTCTCAGCTCCATCCTCTCCAAGATTCTCTCCCAGCCCACAGTCTCCACAGTCTGAAACTTCCTTAGAGAAAGTTCCTTGGTTCTCTGTCACAGAAACTCCAGCCAGAAAAGAGAGATCACTGTCAGAGCCTGCTAACCCCGGGTCTGCCCAGGTACAAGCACGAACACCACAAGGTGGGTTATACAACAGACCATGCCTGCATAGACTGAAGTACTTCTTACGACCTCCGGTGCATCACCTCTTCTTCCAGACACTAATACCAGATAAAGACACAAGAGAGGTGAGCTAACATATCTTCCCCTAGAGATTAGGTGTCCTCTGTATAGGCCTCACGTGAAGTCACTATGCTGTAAGGAGTCCATGCGTGAGAGAACAGGTCCAGGATGAATTCGATATTTTTATCTTTCCTCCTCTTGTGGAATCATCTAGTGTAGAGTCAGACCTGGGTTCAAATTTCACCCCCACAGTTAGCAACTGGCACTGTAGAAGTCACTATACCTTTCTGAGCCCTAGCTTTCCTAGATGTAAAATGGAGATAAGAACACACCACACAGGATCATTAAATGACATAACATATGTAAAGTGCCTATTAGAGTGTCTGGCTCATTATAGGCCTTCATCAAATACTTCTCTTCAATTCCTATGCCTTTCCCTTCCTGATGCCCTTATTACCCCTTCCATATCATAGAGATAGTGATACTCTGGACACTTCTGTGCCTCCAAAATTATTACTTTCTGGCTTTTGGGGAGGAAATTCAATTTTAAGATTTTAATGGGACTGCTACTTCCCATTGGTCTTTTTTAGTTATGGGAACTAAACCAAATGCTTTTCTTAGCAGATGTAAGGAAAAAAAATTGTGGCTGAGTCCTTCAATATGAAGCTATTTTTTCATTATCCATAACCATATTCTCAACATTAAGAAGACTGGCTTGAGGTAGGCCAGGAATTCAAAAGGTGCATTTTTGGAGCAATCAGCAATCCAGCAATCAGGCATTCACATTGATTTGGCCTTGAAGAGTGAATTTTTTTCTCTCATTTTTATTGTTGTTATAGCTTCTGGTATGTTTTATCTCTTCTCCTTCTGAATGACTCTCTCCAACCACTAGCCCGTTCTCTTTTTTCCTATGGGTTTGCCTGGTGATACAGCCATTATGAAGAGCATTTGGGGGACTTGAGAGAGTCTGTGTTTCCCTGGTCAAGACTGTAGTGCTTTGTAGGTGCCGCACAACTAGAGAAGTGCCAGTAGCTGCAAATGCGGGTACCACATTCCCTTCCTGTGTAAACGCAGCTTAGGTTCAAAGACGGCAGTTAGGCCAAACAAAAGGGATTTTTCTTCTTAATTTCTTACTTTAAAGAACCTTGGCCATCCAGAGTTCATCTGTAAATCTTTTCTGTCTCTTCTATGATTTCTTTTGGGCTTTTAGTAAGTACTTCTTCACTAGGTCATTTTCCTCCCAGAACTTCTTAGCCAGTCCCCATGCTGCCACTTACCAGCCATAGGCCTTAAGTCTTCTGAGTCTCTCTTGGTTTAGCTCTAAAATAAGTCATAATGACCATATCATAAAGTTGTTTGACTTAAAAGTAAACACATAAAGCACAGAGCCACCTTTCAAGGCCTAAAGAAATGTTTTATTAAGTATTAGTTCCCCTTGGGGCACCTGGGTGGCTCAGTCAGTTGGGCCTCCAACT